ACATAACCTTCCAGTTATTATAGAAACTGCAGCCTTAAAGGCAGCAGCACAGCGCACCTGAAAAGGAGACATGCTCTTAAACAATCCTATTGCACAGGGACAATTGTTCCAGCCAGATTCTCATACTAAGACCTGCAGGACACTTCTCTCTTTTTCTCTTCTCATTTTTGTAAGCCTTGCAAGCCATCAACAAGACGGGAATGTTCCCTGGCAGGAGGCAAATGTGGAGGATGAGCTGCGGTCAAGTCTGGAGGGTCATTTTTCCAAGACCTGTCTTTAAAGAAGCCCAATGATGGGATGTCGCACCAGAGAAGGGGACCGGCACTTTGATGTCTCCGTTGTTCAGGGATTGTTTGGAGTAGCATGGAATTAAGGGCAGTATGCTGTGCAGCAGTGGTGGAGGAACCGTAGATGAAAAGCAGCCATTAAAAAAAGCCATTGTATGCACGTTTCTGCAGTATTATGACCAGGGGCCCAATGTTTTTTTGTTATTTCCAAAAGCCTGCTTGGAAATGTACCTCCTGCAACCTTTCAGCGAAATCGGATCACTGTAAAGGACGCTTTCCTGTTAAACCAGGGCTTGTTGAACAGAGCATTGCTCCATTTATAACTTTTAAAGTGCTGATTAAAGCAAGCCTCCACCCAGGTAAGATATGTGCCTTTTCCCCTCCATTCTTGTGCTTTTTTTGTTCTTGCTGAGAAACTGGTTTTGTCCCAGGATATTTTTTTTTCCTGCTGGGCATAGTTTAGCCAGAGTTTTCTATGCAGAACACCTTTTTGAGTGAAAGACTCCCACATCAGAAGGCTTTAACTTAATGCTTAATTACCTTTAAAAATGGCGGCGGGGGGGGAGAAACTCTGAAGACAAACCTGCAGTAAGGAAGGGGATTTATAAAAGATCTATTTTCCAAGATAAATTATTTTCAAAGACATGGCTTTTGCAGTATAGTTGCAAACCCCAGTAAGCCCCAGTCTCCTGAGAAAGAGGTGAGGTTTCCTACTGTTCAAACTGGCTTCTTCAGCTATGCTGTTAATAGCCATCTTATCTGCTGACATATGCTCTCTCTATATATATAGATCTATATAGAGATATATATAGAGAGGATATTACACAATGGCTAAATCCAGTCACACGTCACAACTAGAGGAGGCCCACTGAATCAGTAGATTTGGCAAATGTTATTTATTGTATTTGTACCCCACCTATCTAGTCGAACGACCACTCTTGGCAGCTGTTCCATACGTTCCACTGATTCAAGTGGATTCTAGTTGAAATCTAGTACATAGTGGTTTTCTGACAATATGTGGTCTAGCTATCTTTAGGTTATTGTATAGCTCTCAGCATTACCGTATCAATGCAATTTATCTAACAGAGACCTAATCCTGTATACGCACTGCACCAGTACCCTTTATACAGAGAAACACAGAAGCGCTCAAGATTTTTTTAGTCAGTTTATTTTTTCCCATTTCAGTTTATTAAAAAACTTGTTAATCACAAAAAAAGCTTTGCCTCTTTTTACATATATACAGACACACAATATGAAAAAATAAATAGGGGAGGTTACGGCATTACAAAATCCATTATATACACATATGAAACTTCACAAGATTGAGACTTTTTTTAATATAAATAGGTGGCACTTTTCACAGCTAAGGCACAGAAAGCCTTCATTTCTGTGGAACCAAGGAAAACATCAGTGATGCAGGAAAACAAGACCAGGTGGACTCCAAGTTACAATGGCCCAGAAATGTGGAAATTCTCATAGACGACGGCTGACAGAGATGCCAATAAGTGACAGCTCTGCTTTTTTGTGTGACCCACAAACATTTGACCTTCAACTGGGCTCTTCCATAGCTTGTCTGTACAGCCAGATTTTCTAACCAAGGCACAACTTGAAAAATAAATGGAGGTTTTACTCATACTTGGAAAGTATGTGTGAAGGGGTGGAAAGAAAAGAGAAAAAAGGAAATGTAACTATTGAGCTACAATGGAAGCTATCCCCTCATGTTTCTGATCTTAGGGATAGCTACTGACTGAAGAAAGCCAGCCTAAAAACCCTGGTGCTACAGAAATGTCACCAGCCTTATTATTACAAGTAATATCTTATTGTTAGAGATGGGTGGATCGTGCATCTGCACCTGAACCATGGAATTAACCACTCATGGCTTCTAGGCAGGAACAGTAATTTATACAGAGAAGCAGCAGTGGTCCCCTCTCTTGCATGGGCTCCTTCGGCTTGCCTGAACCTTGTGTTGTGGTATCATTACATTTACCGTGCACCCAAGTGGTTTTCTCATGGCATACATTGTGAAATGGCTGAGTCCATTAAAGGACCTGGCCTTGAAACAAAACCCCACCCATCCGTGAGAGTGGCCACCAGCTTGAGATCTCTCTATTTACTAAGAGCAAACTCGGGTCTAACTACTATGGTGAACAAGCTGCACTGGGCTTGGTAGGCCACCTAGTTAGGCAACGTTGGCCAAGAAGAAAGCTCATCTCCTCAACCTGAGAAATGCCTCCTGCGCAGCAGATATTGTAATTGCTAGGAGTTGCAGAAGTCGGGGAGAGAGAGAGAGCTGGCAGGAATTAATCAACATTGGCCAGTATCCTAACTACCAGAAACCCATTGGTTTAGCTGCTGGACAGTCAAACCAACGCTTATGTACATGCTACTGAGTCTATAGGTTTACAGGGTATTGACTTACGTGTGAACCCTCCCTTCACTTATGCCAACTTATCTCTTTTTGTATCAACAACTACCTCAGCTTTCTTGCTGGTGTGCCAGAAGTCAAGACGCTGGCCTCATTCCAGCAGCTTGTTGCAACAAGAATGGACCCACTACACCAATGGAATTTAGGCAGCCATTGACCTACCATTCAGCAATGGAGACACTAGGTCTACTGAATCTGGAACTAGCACCGACTGGATTTAGGCCATTACATTTTAATAATATGGTGAGTTTTAATTAAGAAAAGGAAACATAACATGGACTCCTTTATAACTTTGACCTGAAAAGGTCAAATGAACCAAGGACACGATGTCAACATGAACTGGTTTAAATGGACAGAGCGATCTTTAGTAAAGCAACGGATGTATGGCAACCCCATGCAATGTGCATTTTATGATGAGGCAATAAATAACATACAGAAACAGAGGGTGGTGTAAATTAGGGCCATAAGACAGGTTCTCCAGAGGAACCCTTCAGTAAAGGGTTGCGATTGGCATCTTTTTCTTTTAAAAAAATAAGTTATTCTAAAGGTAGCCCCTGAGGCCATAAATATGTGATGCTTTCAAGATGGTAGCCCGGAGACCATAACAAGCAACCCTTAAATATCAAGCTCTTGCAAGTGCGAGGAAGAAAGGGGGTGGGGGAAGACAACATTGCAGTTTTTGAAGAATTTGTAGCACCACTTTTAGTCAAGAGTACATTTTTCTTCTGCCGTTGTCTTCTTTCGTTCATTTGGCTAGCCAGGTCTCCAGTGACTATACGGAAAGTCATCCAAGAAACGAATGTTCAGTGTGATCTTGATGCCGATCTGGATGGAAAGCAGGTTGGGAAAGAAGATGTTAATGATTCGAATGCATTTTTTCTTTTTAATGAAGCCTGCCAGCATCGTAAGATAGCTGGCAAAACCCACATCACGGCTCCGAGGGTTTCTTGGGCTAAGGTTTCTGTTCTGAGCAGCTGGTGGAATGCACAGTTTGACCTAATGGGCAGTAAGCCACAGAATAGATTGGCCGAGGTCTGCTATCCCATAATGGAGGCTTCCATGCACCACAGAAAGTTAAATTTGCTTTACAGTAAAAGCACTCTATCTGAAATCTTTTGAATAAAATTTCCCTATGTGCTTGGTGACAGCTAGTGATCTTTTTGAGCAGACATGAAACTCCACACGTCAAGCTGCAGGTAAATTCTGAAACAATGGCAACAAATCATCCTCAAGCAGAGTATCAAAAGGTCACATCCAAAAGGGAAGACTTTTGTATCCCCAACGAAGAGCATCACTGGTCTTTCACACGGGAAGGAGATGCAGTATTGTGCTTGGGAAATTTCACTGCTTGGACTGCAACTCACAGAACCCCAGCCAACAGGGCCATCATTTGCAGGTGTTCTAGGAATTGCGATTGAGGCAAAAAATGATCTACAGTACATCCAGGAGACCATTTATGCAGAAAAGGTAAATGACTGTAAGCTTGTGATTGAGACAATTTATGCAGAAAAGGTAAATGACTGTAAGGGAAAGGGAAAGGTTCCCCTTGACAATTTTTGTCCAATCGTGTTCGCCTCTAGGGAGCAGCGCTCATCCCCGTTTCCAAGCCATAGAGCCAGCGTTTGTCCGAAGACAATCTTCCGTGGTCACATGGCCAGTGCAACTTAGACACGGAATGCTGTTACCTTCCCACCAAGGTGGTCCCTATTTATCTACTTGCATTTGCATGCTTTCGAACCGCTAGGTTGGCGGGAGCTGGGACAAGCGACGGGCACTCACTCCATCGCGTGGATTCGATCTTATGACTGCTGGTCTTCTGACCCTGCAGCACAGAGGCGTCTGCGGTTTAGCCCACAGCGCCACCACGTCCCTCTAATGACTGTAGTTGCACAATTAAAGAGGTTTAACAATTTCCAGTGCTGGCTGGATAACTCAGTGGTTGAGGTATTTGGCTGCAAAGCCAAAGGTTGGGTGTTCAAATCTCCCCTGTGCCTACTTGTAAGTAGAGCCAGCCTGTGTGGCCTTGGGCAAGCTGCACAGTCCCAGAAGAAGGGAATGATAAATCACCTCCAAGTACTCTGTACTTGGAAAACACTGAAAAGGGTAGCCATAGGTCAGAACTGACTTGATGACACATGATGATGATGATTAATGATTTCCAAGCTTAAGTTAGCAAAAGCCCAGCTGACAGAAGGTCCCAACTTGTGCCAGGAGATCCCTCACTGTTTGCAGGGGAATGGAAGGTAAATGGAAGGAGTGCAAACCCTCCTCAAACATAATAAGAAGGCTTACACTGTTTCGTTCTTCTTTTGCCAGCCTTCCCTGCATTTTACAAACCAGAGCTCTTGGCCAGGGGTTATTTTGGTCTCTTGGAGGTCTTCAACACAAAATGTAAGCCTGGAACAAAACAAAAAGATATGGACGAATCCTAAGGTTAACACAACCCATGATGCAGAAGGATTTCTAAAATGGGAGCATACAGCTGCAATCGGCAAGCTTCAGTTTCTGTGACTTTTCAGAGCAAAATTAGTAATTCCCACACAAGTCTTTGGTTGCCAGTCAAATTAGCTGTAGGGCACCTGTACAGATAATCTAAATAAACGTAAAGGTAAAGGTTCCCCTTGACATTTAGTATAGTCGTGTCCGACTCTAGGGCGCGGTGCTCTTCCCCGTTTCCCAGCCATAGAGCCAGCGTTTGTCTATAGACCATTTCCGTGGTCATGTGGCCAGCATGGCTAGACACAGAATGCTGTTACCTTTCCACCATGGTGGTACCTATTTATCTATTTACATGCTTTTGAACTGCTAGGTTGGCAGGAGCTGGGACAAGCGACGGGAGCTCACTCCATCACGTTAATTCAATCTTACGACAGCCGGTCTTACGACCTTGCAGCACAGAGGCTGAATGGAATAAATGTAACCTCTAGTCACAAAGGCATGTTGTTGCAGAACATCACGTTCTGTAAGCAAACCGGGAGCAGGACAGTAGTTTCCACAACCCAACTTGTGAGCCTCCCAAAGTCTCCTGGCATGATTGACTGTGTTATGAGTCAAAAAGGAAAAAGTACTAGCCTAAGAGAGATTTACAGTACTGAAAAAGAACATGGAGTCCTATGAAACAAACACACACAAAGAGATCCTTTGTCTATCTAATCATAGTCCACTTTAGTTGATGCTTCTTAGTAGCTGCTTTCTCAGAACTTACTGTTGTGAAGATACTAGAAGAGGTTCTTCTTGCAGTGTTCACCAATCAAATTATATTTAGGGAAAACTGTGTGAAAGTAGAGTGTTCCTTTGAAATAGTCTTCCCGTTAATGAAAGAGTTCTCTTTCCCCCAAGTTAATATGTAAAGATCCTGGTCAGCAGAAAGCATTAATCAGGGTGATTGGCTGCCAATTATTATTCTTAGAGGTGATTGCTTCCTTCAAGTTTGCATGTGTAATTTTAATATGTAACTTGGGGACTTCACACCAGAATAGCAACTGGTGCAAAAATAAAAGACGGGACAGCACATTAGCATGAAGAGAATTCCAAAATCCAGAGTGAGGCATTACTTCTGTCAAGCCAAACAAAAAACAATTGTTGGGGGAGACAAAAATATCTTCAAGTTTTCAAGAATACTTTTTCGGCAGAACAGATGTTTCAAAAGCAAGCACAGGATGGGGAGGAAAAGAATAGAGGTTGAATCTTAAGTTGTCTGCCTGTTGTCCTGGGATTTAGGCTGCACATCAGGAAACATTTCTTAACTGTTAGAGCAGTATGACAATGGAATCCATGACCTCAGGAGGTCATGAACACTCAATGCTGGAGGCATTCATAAGAATCGGTTAAGGCAATCTTTGAATAGGATTCCTGAATTAAGCAGGGGGTTGGACTTGATGACCTTATAAGCCCCTTCCAACTCACTTATTCTATGATTCTATGAAGCTGGCTGGTGGGACTCATGGAGAAGTAATCCAAAATATGAATGTTTCCAAGTTCTGGTTAAAACCAATGATGCTTTCGTGCTGATGCCTATCTGAAACCTAGGCTACAAAAGAAATGTGTGGCTATGCACAGACTGTCCACAGTCCAGGCTAAGCGCCTTGTCCAAAGAATAACTGCACTTACTTCCGCTGAGTTTCACCCGACTTCACACGGATACGCCTGATATGCAACTCTTCGGACAAGTTCTTGGGCTGAGACCAATAACTTTTCAGTCCCGCCCAGAGGCTGTACCAGGTCTGAGTCGAACCATCCCAAGCGAGTTTGATCTTCAGAATATCACCAACATCTTCTTCCGTATAGACGAGAAAGGTGTTTGTGTAATTCAGACCTATCTGCTCATACCTGGAAAGGAGAAAAGAGTTTCGTTAAGGAAGCTCAGAAATAGACAGCCAGCAAACTCGAAATTTTTGCACAACAAGGTTCCAACTTGTCCTCCCTCCACTCGTTTTCCCTTCTACATCACAAAGAACCAAGCGGATTAAAGAAGTGAATGAGAAAGTCACAGGGACTGGAACCTTTAATTTTTCAGCAGATAATTCCCAGAATCAACACCCTGCCCAATTATTCTGGAAAATGTAGTTCGGGGAGATTTTTGGGTGACATACTGAAATAAGCCATTCATTAATAACGTTTGTGGGGGAAGGAGTGCTTTATTTCACTGGGTTTTGGAGTGTCCATTTTGGAAGAGATTAAGAAAGGCTGAGAGATGGATATTATCAATCACAAGCTTACATTTCCAGAGGAAGAGGCTGGGAGTCACCGTTGGTGCCGTGCAGCGTTACTGAGAAGGTTGGTTCAGCTTCTCCCATGGTTTGATAGCTGAAGACGTGGATTTTCATTTGATAGTGGAAAACTGTGGAAGCACAAGTAAAGGCACTGAAGGCAGAGCCAAGAGTTATACCTCAAATCCCTTGTTCCATAAACAGACATGGTTTTTGCAAGGCATGTTCCAGCTGGCAAAGACCCGTCTCGTCCCTGCCAAATAGCACTGCTTGGGCTTCTGTCCCATTAATACTGATCAGAAGCAGAAAACCACAGAGGATGGTTGAGCTTAAAGGATCTGAAAGCAGCTGTGCTGGCATTCCTTCGTCCTTCCACCCTGCTCTGGCCAAGGAGAAGGTACGACAAGTTCCTCTGCTCCCCTGCACAGCTCGTCCACTTTTACACCAGCAAATCAGTTAACGTCAATGCAGCTATCCCAGCCTAGTGCATGAAGGGTCAAAGCAAGGACAGAGCTACAGTCTAAACTAGTAATTTTTTTGGATTACAGTTCCATATTGGCTGTAGAATTTCTAGCATTCTGATCCACATGGAGAAGTGAAACCTGTCTTGTTGAGATACCTTTAGCGTGAAGAAACTGGAGACTGAGGAGAGGGCTGGTTAGAGGATTCCTCACGCAATATAGGGTGGGTATATTAACACCTGCATAAGGGTCATGTGTCAGAGCAATGGGAACCCAGAAGGGATGGAGCCACCGGCCCATCTCATGGAGTACAAGCTCAGAGGTTGTGATGGAGGGCAGAGTCATTGGAGGTTAGTGTACCAGGAAGAAGCAGGTTCTTGGGAACGTTATGGGGAAATTCAGAAAAGATGCTCTCTAGGAACAGTAAAGGGCAGGGAAGCAACTGGAGAAAAGTGAAAGCCTAGTCCAAATAAAAAATGGCATATTGTATAGCTGTTCTCAGTTGTCAGTCTTTCAGGGCCTGTGAGCATGTCTGCTCTTCATTGGACTGTTTGTGACTTCAAGGGTTTTGAGCATATATGGTTCCCCTTGCAGATGCCTATATCTCTGCAAATCTTGGAACTCCTTCAACCTGCAAGTACCTCCATTTTGTGTATGGGTGGTACCGCTTTGGCTATACAAATACTGGCATTCAAAACCTGAACAGCTGAAGTGCAAGGAATGACAGATACCATTCTTTAATGAAAAAAACCCACCAGGAGATGTAAATTTGACTAAAGAAACAGGTGAGAATGGCTTCAGAACTTTCCATCTCACTGATAGTCTGTATAACATGTGCCTTTCTTCCATCCTATAGTTTTTCAATTCAAAATGGCACCTCTCTGCAGCGATTTTTAAAAACATTTTATGGTTACTGGTTTGTTACAGGTTTGTGTTTGATTTTTGTAAACTGCCCGAGTAGTGCCTTGCCACACGGTGAGTGGTACAGAAATACAACAAACAAACAATAATTTTAAATAAAACCTCAGTATATTAAAAAACAAACACATTGTTTTGGGACTCCCAGAATCCTCCAGGCAACATTAACTATTGCTTAGGGCAGTGGTTCTTAACCTTTGTAACAAACACATACATTGTTTTGGGACTCCCAGAATCCTCCGGGCAACATTAACTATTGCTTAAGGCAGTGGTTCCCAACCTTGCATCCCCAGATGTTCTTGAACTAAGATTCCCAAAAACCTTCAAAACTAGCTGTGCTGGCTAGGATTTTTGGGAGTTGTAATCCAAGAACATCTAGGGACTCAAGGCTGGCAACCACTGGCTTAGGAAGTTCTGGAAACTGTGGCCTCAAAAAGTGTCTTCTCTCTCTACTCAACAGACTATCATACATAACAAGGTCTTGTTTGGACCTTAAATGCATGTCATAAGAACCACAAGGTCTCCAAGGGAACAATCTAATAAGCTACTGCCCAAACCCAACCAGCTTTTTCCAACCACTTTTCTACAGATCTGCACTGGCTTAGCTTGAGGTTGTAAAACAAGAACAGTAAACAATAATTCAGTGAACCATTCATTTTCAATGACAGGTGAAGCCCTGCTGCTCCCTGGCTGGCGGAAGACATTTTGCTAGCTATGGTGAAGAATCAGATGGTTCATCCTCTTCCACTGTGCCCGTTAAAAAAGCAGCCACAGGGATGATGAAACTTCATTTCAATATTGCTGTTGCAGGAGGATCAAATGCAACAGGCTAGCTGCCAGGGTGAGGACAGGGTGTCCTTTTCATGGATCTCTCTTCCCCCCCACACACACACCTTGATAATGGTCCTCAGTGCCTACTACCTATGGTATCTCTCTCCTTCTGCATCATAGTACAGTGGTGCCTCGCTTAGCGATTGTCTCGTTAAAGGATGAAACTGCTTGATGATGAAGTTTTTGCAATCACTTTTGCAATCGCCAAACGATGTTCCTATGGGAAAAATTCCCTTAACGAGGATCGGTTCCCTGCTTTGGAAACCGATTTTTTGCTAGAAACAGCTGATCGGTGGTTCTAAAATGGCCGCCCGCTGTTCAAAACGGCTCCCCGCTGTGTTTTCAGGACGGATTCCCTGCTTTACAGGCAGCGAAAATGGCCGCCCCTATGGAGGATCTTCGCTGGACGGTGAGTTTTCAGCCCATTGGAATGCATTGAACCGGTTTCAATGCATTTCAATTCGCTTTTCCGTTTCGCAATACGATGTTTTCATAACACAGCGATTTTCGCGGAACCAATTAACATTGTCTTGCAAGGCACCACTGTACAGCCAGAACTCAGATACCCATTGGACCACAATAAACCATCATCCCCAGCCAGCAGGACCAATGAACAGGAATGGTGGGAGTTGGGGGTCTGATATTTGGGGTGCCAACACAGCACCTGAGCATGCTATAGTTTGCTTCTGATTTCAGAAGCTAATCAAGGTAAGTCCTGGTTAGTTCTTGGATGGGAGACCTCCAGGAAATAACCAATGATCTCCAGGTATGACCAGTGAAGAATTTTACCTAAAACTTTAAGACAGCTGGTGCCAGTCAGAGCTCATCTGCTGGACTAGATACAGCAATAGTCTGGACTCAGCAGAAGGCAGCTTCCTATATTCTATAGTTCACAATAAATTGAATGAAATTAAACCTTAAAGTAAATCTCAAATCTCAATCTAAACAAAAATGATCCCTACCGTCTTTGTATGGCTTGCAGAGGAAGAGTATCTCCTCTTTCTCTCCCCTCATTTTGTACATCATCCCACCCTAGCAGATCTCCAGGTAAGGCTAGGCATGGATTCAGCCTGAAATTCTGGGGAGCTGTTGCTAGTCAGAGTTGAGAATCCTAATGGTCTAGAATAGATCAGTGGTTCCCAACCTTGTTTCCCCAGGTGTTCTTGGACTAAAACTCCCAGAAGCCTTCACCACTAGCTATGCTGGTGAAGATTTCTGGGAGTTGTAGTCCATGAAAACTTAGGGGCACAAGTCTGGGAACCCCTGGTGCAGATGGACCATGATCTACAGCAGGTTTGTATATTCCTCCAAGTCCAAGTGGACAGCTGTTGTTCTCTGGAAAATAAAAACAAGACACTCTCAGCAAGCAACGAGAGAAGAGAGAGCAGCCTACCTTTGAATGGCATGCCGGCCCGTGTCTTCAAGTACATCTTGCTGTTCCTTTTATTCCTGATTTTCTTGGCATTGTAGCCGATGCTGTTGCAGCGGTTCTTCCGGCAGCTCAAACAGATGCCCTTCTTGAAACGCCCCGAGTCCGTACACTGGAAAGCAAAGCTCTGCTTGTCTTCGTTGACAAGGGAATCCACAAAAAGGTGCACAGAGCGTTCATGTTCGCACCTCACCACTTCCCCAATATCTAGGATGGATAGGCAGGGAGAGACGACAGGAAGAAGGCGGTGAGCCAACCCTCTTGAACATTCTTCACCACAGCAGAAAAGGGACAAAAAGCCAGATTTATGGACGTTTGGGTCCTTTGCCGTTTCGCACGAGCCAAACTTGGCCACAGATCAGGTGGGCCTCTAGCCAGAAATGTTGTGTGTGTGTATGTGATTCTGTGCCATCGAGTTGGATTTGAGACTTACAGCGACCCTAATAGAGCTTTAAAGGTAAGTGAGATATTTCAGGAGTGGTTTTATCAGCTCCGCTCCCTCAGTCAGTTTCCATGGCTGAACGGGAATTCAAATCCTGGTCTCCAGAGTCCCTAGTCTGTCAGTCTGTCCACGACACCACCCAGAAATGTTGTACTACAACCAGAAAAGGTACAGTGGAGAAATCGCTGCCAGGGAAGAAGAAAGATTTGCCCACTATGAAAGGGCAAGCTCTTGTCTAGTCATTGCATCATTTAAAATTGCTTTATTTTACATGACACCTCAGTGGGGTTGAATGAGTTTGCCAGGTGCTTGTCAATCATCCCACTGCTTTTGTACTGATTAGTCGGGAAGTACAAAAGGCCAATTTATATTCCGATGAGCGGCTAAGCAGAAGGCTGTCACCGTGCTGTTCCTTTCTGCTTTGCTAGCAAAAAAATGTGAATACTTTTCTTTAATAAAATTCTTAGCATTTGTGAAGCACTACCTTGGCATGTCCAAAGCATTTAACAGACTATTTTCCCTCATCTTTACAAGAACCCTGTTAAAGTCAGGTGGGCAACAGCAAGATCTTGAGGGGGGGGGCATTTTCTCTCTCTCAGACTTCCAGCAATCAGAGTACAAATTCATCACTTAGCTGTGAATTTGCTGAACAACCAATCAAGCTGGCCTGCCTCACAGGGCTGTCAGGAGGATAAATAAGAGAAACCCACTCCTATGTTCACTGTTTGAGCCCCATAAAAAAGAAGACCAAGGATGACATTTTGAAAAATATTATCAGGACAGCTGACGCTAAGGGATCCCTGCCCAAATATATCATCTTCAAGTACATCTTGCTGTTCCTTTTATTCCTGATTTTCTTGGCATTGTAGCCGATGCTGTTGCAGCGGTTCTTCCGGCAGCTCAAACAGATGCCCTTCTTGAAACGCCCCGAGTCCGTACACTGGAAAGCAAAGCTCTGCTTGTCTTCGTTGACAAGGGAATCCACAAAAAGGTGCACAGAGCGTTCATGTTCGCACCTCACCACTTCCCCAATATCTAGGATGGATAGGCAGGGAGAGACGACAGGAATAAGGCGGTGAGCCAACCCTCTTGAACATTCTTCACCGCAGCAGAAAAGGGACAAAAAGCCAGATTTATGGACGTTTGGGTCCTTTGCCGTTTCGCACGAGCCAAACTTGGCCACAGATCAGATGGGCCTCTAGCCAGAAATGTTGTGTGTGTGTATGTGATTCTGTGCCATCGAGTTGGATTTGAGACTTACAGCGACCCTAATAGAGCTTTAAAGGTTAGTGAGATATTTAAGGAGTGGTTTTATCAGCTCCGCTCCCTCAGTCAGTTTCCATGGCTGAACGGGAATTCAAATCCTGGTCTCCAGAGTCCCTAGTCTGTCAGTCTGTCCACGACACCACCCAGAAATGTTGTACTACAACCAGAAAAGGTACAGTGGAGAAATCGCTGCCAGGGAAAGTCAGTTTCCATGGCTGAACGGGAATTCAAATCCTGGTCTCCAGAGTCCCTAGTCTGTCAGTCTGTCCACGACACCACCCAGAAATGTTGTACTACAACCAGAAAAGGTACACTGGAGAAATCGCTGCCAGGGAAGAAGAAAGATTTGCCCACTATGAAAGGGCAAGCTCTTGTCTAGTCATTGCATCATTTAAAATTGCTTTATTTTACATGACACCTCAGTGGGGTTGAATGAGTTTGCCAGGTGCTTGTCAATCATCCCACTGCTTTTGTACTGATTAGTCGGGAAGTACAAAAGGCCAATTTATATTCCGATGAGCGGCTAAGCAGAAGGCTGTCACCGTGCTGTTCCTTTCTGCTTTGCTAGCAAAAAAATGTGAATACTTTTCTTTAATAAAATTCTTAGCATTTGTGAAGCACTACCTTGGCATGTCCAAAGCATTTAACAGACTATTTTCCCTCATCTTTACAAGAACCCTGTTAAAGTCAGGTGGGCAACAGCAAGATCTTGAGGGGGGGCATTTTCTCTCTCTCAGACTTCCAACAATCAGGGTACAAATTCATCACTTAGCTGTGAATTTGCTGAACAACCAATCAAGCTGGCCTGCCTCACAGGGCTGTCAGGAGGATAAATAAGAGAAACCCACTCCTATGTTCACTGTTTGAGCCCCATAAAAAAGAAGACCAAGGATGACATTTTGAAAAATATTATCAGGACAGCTGACGCTAAGGGATCCCTGCCCAAATCTATCATCTGAATTCATGGCAGGGGAGGCACAAACTATCAACTTGCTCTTAGCCTCTGGATTAAGCAGCTACACTACCTTCCCTAGAGAAAACTAGTTTTACAGACCAAAGGGTTTCCATCTTAATCATGACCAATGCTGTGGGAGTCTTTTCTACCCTACAGTTCACAGAAACCTGCCTAGCAGAACTCGCAAGAGACAGCAAATTCTGCCCTAGGGGAATGATTTGCCATTAGTAAGATCTTGTGCCTGTTACTTTTTTGGACTGTAACTCCCAGAACGTGGAAACGGAGATCCAGCATAAGCTTTTCGATTTCTGATAAATGCTATGTTCATTCTAAGATTGAGTATGCAATCCTACACATCAATTAGGAAGAAAAAGAGGCCAAAGGACTTACTCCCATAAGCAAGCGCTCCCAAGACTTCACCAAAGCCACATCCCGGCTGGATGTCTCCTCCATTGGGGTAGATGTCCAGGTGACCCACGGGCATCTGGATCCCAATGCTGATACCCAGGGTTTCCCTGGTATATGTGTGCAAGACATCTACAAAGTCAGCATCGTCAGGAGACAGGCGGCTGTTGGGTTCAACCCCTTCAAACATGGGGCCAGCTGGATCCAAGCCTGTAGCATGCAAGATGCATCGTTAGTCCTTGCCGAGACAGAACCTCCTTTACATTCAGATCAAACTTTCTGTCCACCAGTAAAGCCCTGCCTGCTTAAAGACAGGCTCTCCAGATCTTCCTTATCACCTGTGCCCAGTCCTCTTACTTTAATATGCCTGGGATTAAACATGCACGCACAGACTCTTAACTTCTCATCCCTCCATTCAACTACACCTGTAATAGAATTACCTCTCACTAAGGATATTTATTTCCACTATGTGCTCGTTTTCTACTTGCAGAGAACATTCACAGAGAAGAGCACGCCTCCCCTCTCTGCATTTTGTCAACCTATTCTACCACCCTACTTTAAAGCTGAAACTGGGGCCTTCGTTTTACTGGGCATGCCCTGACACCGCATACAGAGGACTTACTTGGCTCCTCATGCCCACAAAGGTGCCTCAAGCAAAAGACAGGGCACAGAGAAGCCAATGAATCCAAGACCTAGTTCCTTTTGTGAAAGAAACATGAAAGGCTCTCGGAGGGCCAGTTTACCTGTGATTCTGCCTACTGTCCCATGTACATAGTTCCCAGCAAAGCCAGCTGCGTGGGCACCAAGGCTGTAGCCAATCAAGTGGACATTTTGGAGACGGAAGCCCTCTTTCTTCTGCAAAAATAACGATGATAATATCAGTCAAACATTATAAGTAAGCTCCTGCAAGGATAACATCAACAGGGTTAGCCAGCTCTTATTCTGAGGTCACCAAGCTGTGGCTCTGTGGCTGCATGTGGTCCTTGGTTGCTTTCTATGGGCACAAGGTTAGCCTGCTCTTATTCTGACCGGAGGTCAACAAGCTGTGGCTCTGTGGCCGCATGTGGTCCTTGGTTGCTTTCTATGGGCTCCCCAATGACACCAAGAGGCCACTCGACTTTCCTCCAAAGCTGGGCTTTGGAGAGGAAAAACAATGCTACTTCTGAGCTCCTAAACCAGGTTCCCAATCTTGGGCAACCCAGGTGCTCCTGGACTGTAACTTCCAGAGGTCTTCACCACCAGCTGTGCTGGCCAGGATTTCTGGGAGTTGCAGTCCAAAACATCTGGGAACCCAAGGTTCGGAACCACCGTTCTAAGCCAATGGTCCCCAGCCTTGGGTAACTCAGGTGATTTTGGACTACAATTCCCAGAAACCCCAGCAAAGGTTTCTGGGAATTGCAGTCCAAGAACACCTGGGCTACCCAAGGTTGGGAGCCACTGGTCTAAACATGTGTTTATCTGCTGGCAGCTGTGGCCAATCAAGCAGCTTTGCAACTGCTAGGGATGGGGAGAAGAAGAGAAAAGAGGGCATGTGTGATGGGGTATGAGAGTGATGTTTTTGTGCACACACAGACATGTGTGCATCCGTTTCCAGCCAGCTGGGGATGTGGCCTTAGAGGCTAGTAAGGTTCTGCATTCCGATTTAGATCCAGCAGGATGCAGAGCAGAGACAGAAAGAAGCAAAAAGGGGGAAAAGCAGAACGGTATCATCATGAGTATTCTGGAGTCATTCTGTGAAACTGGGTATCAAATCCTGAAATCCTCTCCAGGAGGAGGGCATGGTATATTAATGTTTAAAATAAAAAAGTAAACACACACCACAAGTAATTCTGATCCAAACATCGCAAGCTAGTTTTCTGCTAAACAAAATCTTGCGATTGCACAGAGAAATTAAACCCAAAAAAAATCATGGAGGTGGGGGGGAAGCAAAGCACTTAAATCCCAAACCTTTGGAATGGTAAATCCCCCCACCATCACCCAAAACTCAAGTTTCTCTAATTTTCTTTTTAAAGGATTCATAACGTGTAGGTATGGGAACGGAGGTGCGCTGGCAAGTGCAACTAACCAGCAATTTTCACATAAGAATGAGCCAAAAGGGTTGTTTTCTTAGTCAGAGAGCAACCAGCTAAGATCGCATCAAAGTACTGAGTAAGAGTAAAGGCAGTAGACCTGTAAAAGCATTAAAAGTAGATCACACTCATAACTTTCCTAAATGAAAGTAGCAGTAAATCAGAGTTTGAAATTTTTTTTCTCGTTTTTTGGACTACAAATTCCAGCTGGGGGATGCTGGAATTTGTAACAACAACAAAAACAAAAAATTAATAAACTCCCCTCCAAGCTCTGTGTGAATACAAATTCAGTTTGTATAAGAGAATCTCAATAAGCAATACCTTCTGCGCATGCATCTAGAGTGTGGCACAGGGCCTGCTTTGCAGTGCAGCAAACGGTCGTTCCTGCTAGATCTTGCAGCAAAAAAAAGTCTGCATTGATACAGTGCCCCGTTTGATGCAAGTTTAACATATTTGCACATTTAGTGTTTCAATGGGGTTTTTAATTTCGCTTTACAATGTTTTCGCTTAACGGCGATTTTCCTGGAACGGATTATCGTCATTAAGCGAGGCACCACTATAGATCCCTCATAGCTTTCCTAAATGAAAGTAGCAGTAAATCAGAGTTTGATTTTTTTTTCTCGTTTTTTGGATTACGAATTCCATCTGGGGGATTCTGGAATTTGTAACAACAAAAAAATAATTAAAACTCCCCTCCAAGCTCTGTGTGAATACAAATTCAGTTTGTATAAGAGAATCTCAATAAGCAGTACCTTCTGTGCATGCACCTAGAGTGTGGCACAGGGCCTGCTTTGCAGTGCAGCAAACAGTCGTTCCTGCCAGATCTTGCAGCAAAAAGTCTGCATTGATAGAGTGCCCCGTCTGATGCAAGTTTAACATATTTGCACATTTAAAAAACAAAAAACAAAAACTGTGTGGCCCTGAAGAACTTCTGCTCACACGTTTTACCTGTAACCAATCAAGTAGTTTCGCAACCTCTTTTCCAACCACTCGGGTGTTGTTGACAGCATTGGTGTAGAGCTGATGTGCAAGGGGAAGCCAATCAACCACCACGATGTTGGCATCCTTTTCTCTCTGCTGCAGAGCCAACACAAGGGTATCCAGCCATCTTTCAATCAAGCCACTTGTCTGGAGAAAAGAGTCAGTATTAGGTTCTTTTCTGATCATAGAAAGATCAGAAGTCCTGTTGTTATGGAAGGTTTTCCAATACTGACTAGGGTGTGTTTCATTAGCCACCTTGGAGATATTTTTTTTTAAATAACAAGCATTTCAGCAAATAAGTTAGTGCTTGGAAGCAGTGGCTAACCTGAACCCCTCAACCTCTTTTCAAAAGCCCTCTGTGAATGGGCAGCTCAGCCTAATGGCAAGAGTCACATCCTCCCTTTCCCACTTGTAGAGTAGGAAGCAAGAGTAATGGGAGAGATCGGAAACAAGAGGGAGAAGAGAGAAAGAGGGGGAAAGAGGGGAAGAGCCGCAGGGTGGGGGAGAGAGAGACCAAAAAGTGGGTGACACAGAGACAAAAAAAGGGCAAAAAGGAAAGAAAATGAGATACGAAGATGACAGAGAAAGAAATATGGAGGAGGAGACAAAAAGGGAAGAGAGAGGAAGAAAGAGAAGAGATGACAGCGACATAGGAAGGGATGAGAGAGGAGAGAAGAGAGCGACATAAAGAGAAAACAGGTGAAAGAGAGAAAAACATGCTGTGAACTGCCAGCATGCAACCCGCAGCAAATTGGCCATTACTCCTCAAAGGAATGTTTGTTGATTTATTGCATTTAGGCAGTTGATTTATTGCATTTAGGCATCAGCCATTGAGTGGCGGAGCCAGCATTCTGGGCAGTTTACAAAAGCTAAAACACTCCCAATTACCCACCTTAAATGAAAATGAACTAATCATGATGACAAAGAAACCCCTCCCCCAGAGGTGACAGACAAAAATGAAATTTGGATAGGGGAAGGATGTTCTTGAAGGCCTCCTTGAAAAACTTGGTCCTAACATGTTTCCTGAAAGATAGGAGGTTTCCCCCCCTCAGTTTGCCCTCAAAAGAAAAAAAAAGGTCCACTCTCTGAATGCTGAATTCCAAGAAATTTGCTACCCAGCACCGGTGACCTTGGCTAAAGGATACAGCACCCAACCTATGTCAGACCTGTTCAAGAGTCCTGAGTATCTTGTACACCTACATTATTTACATAATTAGCAAATAACCCAGAATTTGGTATTTCCAAAGAAGGCAACCTATAATTTTCTGGCTTTCAGCTTCATATTTCCAGAGTGGGGATAATGCACTTCTAACTTGCTGTTGGTCACGTCAGGCAGCACCTTTGGGGTCAAGTCTCTGGAGCCCCTAAATCCAGGGCTTACTCTCCCCCCCCGCCACCCAACAACACAAGGGAAGAGAGAGGAAGAAAGAGAAGCTGCTCTCCCCAGAGTAGAGCTGGGAATTTCACTTTGCTGGGAATGTAGCTGTCCTTCCCCAGAAAAATAAAGAACTTGATGCAGACAGGAGTAAACCTCGAGGCAAAATCTGGAGCCGGCGTCCCGGAGGCAGTTCGTGTCATTCTGCCAACTCCTGCGACATCGCTGGGACCAGTTGTATTGGCTCTTGCCTTTCCATTGGACTATTTCAGCGATGTGGAGAGGGGGGATTTGCTGCTTGGGTAACAGCCTATCCTCCATATTATTTTACCCAGGCTTCGTGCTCTGGAGAGGACACTCCAGCTTCACATACAGTGTCAAAACAACACGGAAAGGGATTGCCACTCTCGAATTGGCCTTCTCAGCCACACTAGACGCTGTTCCAAGTCCTCCATACAGAGCACGATACCATAGTCTCTCGAGACCGAAGGATGCCTAACGCAAGTGCCGACTGTCCCATGGAAGGATCTCTGAATGAAAACGGAAGAGGCAGAACAGACGGCTTGCTACCTGAAGTGGCAGGTGAACTCAGACAACCTCTGCACAGAGAACAATCCTGCCATTATCTCGGACCAGCCGGTTTATTACGTGTCACTGCTGGCTTTTTATCTTGCTGTTATCTTATCTGTTTCACTGGCATTATTTGATGTGTGGTGTTTTTTTTTACTTGTTTTATACACGGCCCAGAAAGCATTGGCTAGGAGCATGAGAAGAACTTTTTCCGGGTGAGACCAAATGGAGGCCAGCGCCCTGTGTTGTACAGTAGGCCACCAGTGGCCCCACAAGACATTTACAAACGGTAGAAGAGGGCAACCCAAATTCCCTCTTTGATTTCCCCGCAACTGGCATTGGGAGGCATAAACGCTCTGATCCTGAATACTGCTACATATCAGGGATAAAGGGGAAAGAGGAAAGACATATGGTAGCCCTATTATGATTATTATAATAGCCTGCCTTCCCCCCCCCCAAGACTTCAAAAGGACATTAATCTACCTTTTTTAACCCCAGAATCCTGCTGTGAGATAGGTTAGCTCGAGACACTGTCGTCAACACAACGTTACCCTGTGAGTTTCACAAATAAGAGATTTGAACCCATGTCTCTACAGTCCTAACCCAAACATCCCAGAGGATCCAGATTCTTCCAGATGTTCTGCTGGACTAGTGAGTTCGAAACCTTATTAAAAAAACAAACAAATCAGGCACCACTTCCGCCGCATTCCTATTTGAGCTGGAGACAAAGGTTTAGTAGTTGCAGACATAACGCCCAGCCCTGATGTCTATTATTTTAAGGGCCCAGTGCACTAACACAAAATGGTGACTCTGGTGGGATTTTCTCATGCTCCTTTCCTTGCCAGCGTGAGAGTTCTGAGCCTAACAATTCTGAGAATCAAAATAGACGATACAGCATAAACTACAAGCAGAGCTCCCTTAAGATGTTCACTTTGTTCCTTTACCCTAGGCACCACGTTTTTCTTAATTCAGCACAAGCTGCAAATTATCGTGCTCTTGCTTTGTGATTGGTCATTGCAAGGTAAGCCCGGACTTCATTTGTAAGCCGATTACTCAGGAATGGGAGATTTAAAGTAACACATCTCTAGAGGGAAAACATTGTAGCAACTACTTATTGTAAAGCAGATGTCTTCTCTAGTTCTACCCTCAGTTGCTGGGACAACCATTTAAAAAAAGAGAGAGTCAAATAAGACACCACATTTAGCACATTTTTGAAAAATATGTTCTCTGTAGGGCTGGAAGATGTCTGCTTATCACAGCATCTTGCATTTAGCATACTTTGCTTTGCAGCTGGCCACTGGAAAATCAATTTAGGCTTCATTTGCAGTATGATTTCAGAGGAACTTGATTTCTAAGGAAATCCCATCTTAGGAGGGAAAACAGGTTAATCAAAGTTAAAAGGTCAGAACAGTGGGGATTGTCTGGCAATTGCATTCTGAAAAGCTCTGCCAAGAATATTCCTCCCTGCTTTTTCCAGGCCCTCCTCTCTCTAGCTATTTAATACTGCAATCCACTTACTGTCCATCCATGAATAATAAAAAAACTTTTAGCTGAGACATTGAACTTGCAGTCTTCGAGAAGCTGGTCTTGGCCGGTTTTAAGACTGCAGTCTTTGTCTTCTGGCTCTGTCATAGTACGGACATTGAATTGCACTTGCATTTTCTGAATTGTGGTAGGTGTGGATAGCTCTTCTTCCAGGTGTAGCAGGTGAGATACGCTGTTATCTAGAATGAAAGGGATTTGAAATTTAGCAATCACTCAAAAGGCAGTGAATAAGCATGGGCAACTTAAAAATATTTATTTATTTATTTGTATTTAACTTATACGCCGCCCACTCTACCCAAAGGTCTCTGGGCGGCTTACAACAATTAAAATACAATAAAAAGATAAAACAATTAAAATACAATAAAAAGATATACTCTAAAAAGTACTAACCCTAAGTACTGACAAGAAAACCTCAAGACAAGGGCTAATGTCCAAAGGGACCCCCACCACTACAAATTACAGCTTTTAAAATTAAATTGCATGCCATCATCAACTCCATTCCAACTTATGGCAAGCCCTTCTAAGGATTTTTTTTTAAAGATACATTCTGGGCACCATTTATCTTGCCCATGTAGTGTGGCTTTTCTCCTACAAAGCACTGTGGAAATTTGATCTCTGACCCTGCAGCTAGGTACCCAATTCACAGAGCTACCGGAAACTTTCTCATTCATTTACCTACAAGTCCATAGTTATATCCTGACTTTTCCTTGGGCTTCGTTGTGTAGAAAGGAACAGAATTTCTGCAGGGGACTCTCACTCCCACGTACCTCCTGTCCAAGCTACCTGAGGCTCTTCTGAAAACTCACCCCATGCACCTATAGAGGCCAACAGTGGTTGCCGTTGGCCAAGGACTCAACCAATGTGAATGACTTGGCCTAAACAGCTTTCTTTCAAAGGCCATTGCAGCTGCAAAGGGCAGCAACCCCACAGCTGGTAACACTGAGCACTTTTTGAAGTTTCCCCCCACATCATAATATACTGCAAAACCACCACAGGTGCAACGCAGCCATGTGCAAAATCCACAACAAGGTTGGATGTCTCTTGGGCCATTCAAAGGTGAGCTTTTGAGTCTTGTAGGACTCTTCATTGGGCTAAGTATTGTAGAGTGAGGGTGCAGAGAAACAGAAAAGCTCAAACCCATCCCGGCCAGATGTTAAAGCTGCAGCACCTGTGTTCAAGTTAAACAAGTTAGAAGTTGGTTACGCAAGGGGAAACAGGATCATTCCTGTTAGCCTTGCATGCTCTCTTTGCCGAGTACATGCACAGAGCCAACACACATATAATGCATATACAGGCAAGCTTTGTAGGCATCATCAGGAACCATGTCAAATGCTTTTTCCCACATCGGGTGTGCACAGATTCACACTTAAGCTCTGCACACATAAGGTGGAACCTCATAGAGAATAGGGTAAAGTATACAGAAGACATGTCCTTCACATGAGTACTGACCCTGCAACAAACTAGTATGTGTACAATCCTAGAAAGTCTTCTAGAAGCTTTGTAAGGCATCCTGCATGTATTCAGAATCCAACTGCATGTCTTACCTATTTTGCTCACTCAAGCTCTTGTGCTAAAAGACAGAATTTGAAAAAACAACTTTTCTGCATTATAATTCCCAGAATCCCCCAGCCAATATAATTGCTAGCCATGCTGATTTGGAGATTCTAGAATCTGGAATTCAAAAAATATATTTTTCTAAAGTCTAGAAAAGCTGGTCATTTTTAAACAAGGCTCATCTGCGCTTGTGTCATGGACAGCTCTTAAGAAGAGGATAACATCAAAATCCAGTTAAGAAAACGTTTAGTCAATGGCCCAAATCCTGTTGTTTATCATAGTAAATCACAGTAAAAGAAGCCCTTTGAATCAATAGAGATTTGGCGAGTTGTCGCCTCCATAAGTTCCATTGATTCAAATGAGTCTACTCTAACTGTGACTTACTTTAACCTAGCAAGTTGCAGTTAGAGTGGGTCTATTTGAATCAATAGAATTTACAGAGGCGCTGACTCATTAAAGCTCTTTCATTCAATGGGCTTACTCTACTGTGATTTACTATGCTAAGCAACAGGATTTGGGCCATGATGTGCCATTAATTAGGAGTACTTTTTCATCTCTGAAGGCCTGGCTGCCCAGTTGTATTCACCTTCATATTCTTTTAGCAAATTTTTTTAGCATACCCTTTATCTTGAGATAAAGAACCAAGACATTTGCTCTTTTGTTTATAAAGGAAGCCGAAATGACAAGGATACTCAAAAAAGTGGTGAACCCAGTACATTAGGGAACATTTCAACGGCATGTAGGCAACATGTAAGATGAAACTGTGAAATCCCAATAAAACAAGGAGAATTACCATATATATAACAGTTACATCACAGCTGCAAGTTCATTTTATTTGTTAAAGCTGCAGAACCTGCTAAGCAACCAAGACTGAGTATGCAGTATAGCAATCAAAGAGAAAGTGCCATGCCCTGACTCCCCTTTTCTTCACACTTGGCTCATGAAATTTCAGAGGGCTGGACCCATCCCCGAACATTTTGCTCCCTAAGATAGGGACAAAGATAGTGGACCCCTCTCAAATTTTATCTCGGCTCCAATTTGAAAATATTGAGTTCTAAATGATGTTTAGTAAGGCATTAATTTTTCCCCCCATAGGTTTAAAACCCTATTTTTGCACTATCTGATTCCATAAAAAGAAAATGAAGAGAAGGTGTTTGTGATGTGAGTAAGGATTCTGCCATACTTTCCTGCACTGCTGATCCCTTAGTGGCCACACCCACTGGGGGATTCTGGAAGCTGTAGCATTCAAACGCAATTCCCCTAAATTTCTTAGGAGCCACAGGACTTTATACCTGTGAGGAGCAAGCGACTTGCAGGAGAGCAGGTGAGCTGCAGGCTAAGTGCAGGATAAGTCATGTGACCCAGAAAGCTGCCTTCCTGTAGAAGGCTACAGCTTGGGGGACTGACACATTTGTCCCCTGAGACGGTTGCCCTGCTCTGGCTAAAGTGTACTGTGATTTACTGTGATCTTGCTGCAAGGACAACAGTTGACAGAAGGCTTCACAGAATTAGAATACAGCACAAGCATCCTCTTGCTTGCTGCTTTTGGGTAAGTTAATTAAAAATATAGTTCTATGCATTTTAGAAGATACTAGAAGATTGTTTCACCATTTTAATAGTTTTTTTTCAAATGGTTGTGTCATTTTCATTATTCGATAATAATTTGTTTGTTGTTTTGCGTTGTAAACTGCCCAGAGTGGCCTTCGGCTGGACGAGTGGTATATAAATTAATTGAACGAATTAACGTTGACTGACAAATGAACTCAACCATGTTAAGCAATGTTTACCCCTCCAGCAGAACGGGCACAGGAATTCACCTACCATCAAAACCAGCTTTGTGTTTTTAAGGTTTAAGATATAGGCAGGTCTAAGTTTCTGTCTCATAGCAATCAGCGCATTTCAGCTAGGCAGCAAATCTGCAAACAGTCAAGAGCTCCTGAGCATATTCAGACTGTCTTTCCTTCCCTGGGCAAGGGGAAATTAACTGTTGCAGATACTGTACATGGTTGTGCTTATCAAGCTACAGGCAAGACTAAATGTTTTAAAACAGGGGAAGTGTCATCTAATGGTTACTTCTTCATTCCCAGAGGATATCTTTATGAACACTACCCTCAACCTTAATTTTAAAATTAAGAACTCATTGCATAGCAAGAATTTCTCAAGGATTTTCTATTAATAGCAGGGCAACCATGCTGGCGAGCTCAACGCCTTTAAATGTGACACCCTGCTGACATAAATCAAGGGCTGTGTTTGCACAGTCATCAAAGAGCAAACTAAAATAAAGTAAATGAGGGTGCAACCTCATGTCTCCACAGACACCAATCCCATTGAGTCCACACGGCCCACTCCTACCCACAGGTAAGCAAGAGTAAGCGGGCACCAGCCATACCAGTTTATTTTCTAGCCTGCATGCAATTCTCCGTTAGCAAAAGATTGTGCTATTCTGAAGCTCCGGCTGCTTTCAATGGTCCTCGAACAGAAGAACGCCCTAGAACCGGATTGTAAAACTCTTTTTAAGAGCCCAGCCACAGACCACAGAGAAAGGAAAGTGGTGTGTGTGTTTTTTTAAAGTAAAAATCAGCCAGGAGAGGACAACAAAAATGGCACCAGGCCAGCTGTTCTTCCAACATTTTCATTCTGCAACCCAGTCACTTTCCCAATGTTCTGGACTCCCACTATCCTGGCTGGGGAGACTGGAATATTGCTAGTCCAACACAGCTGGAGGCAGTGATGTTACCTCCACTTTGGGTCATACGCGGTCTTACCTGAAAGTCATACATTTTCTTGAGAAGGCTACAAAGGCAGAGCGCTTCTCCTTCCAAGGATCCCCTTCTTATGTGTCCAAGGCGCGCATGCAATGCCAGTCTTGCAACAAAGGCAGAGCGCTTCTCCTCCCAAGTATCCCCTTATGTGTCCGAGGCGCGCATGCAATGCTAGACTTGTTCTCCCCCCAGCAGGATCCAAAGCGGGGCTTACTCCAGCTACTTTGTACTACCCGAACACAACCAACCCTGCCCGGGGCCAGAACGCTCCGGTTCCCCCCCAAATGCCTCTCTTTCCGAGCTTACAAAAGTGACCCCCTAGAACCTCTCCAGTCACAGCCCTAAAAAAGCAACGTGTCGAAATGCTGCCCTCTTGGAACAAGGCGCAGGTGCGCTCGCGCAACGTCTCCTCCGGGGCAGCCCGAGCCACGCACGTGGCTCCACTCCACTCCTCCTTTAGGTTCCCCACACACCAACCTCGCGAGGTAGACCAGGGGGAAAGAACGATCCGTCCCGCGTTACTCGCTGAGGAGCTGAGCCTGGATCTCTCAAATCTCCTCGCGGTCCTCTGGCCGCTACCCCACGGGCGCATTCCGGGACGAGGCCCCGCTCCAAAGGGGTTTCCCCCAAATCCGCGCAGGTGCAAGCAACACGCGCGGGCCTCTCCCGTCGCCCAGACCACTCCCCCATCCAAGACACCCCACCATCGGCCGGCTTCTTCCCGTCACTACCGCTGCATGGATCGCCCGCATAGCCACCACACACACACACACCCGAGCCCGGGCATCCGCGCCTCCGCATCCGCGCAGGGGCTGCGCGACCAGACCCTGGAGGCGCCGCGCTCTCTAGTCGGTTGGCGGCTGGAAAAGTTTTACCTCCCCGAGGCAGCGCTCCGTCCGGTTGGGAGGCGGCGCTCCCCGCGTCCTCGGCGGAGGCGCAAACCCCAAAGCGCAGCAGCAAAAGCAGCGGGAGAGCGCAATTGCTCATCTCTTTGGGGAGCCACGCGGAGGTCGGCCGGCGCTGCGAAGGGCCAACGGTTCAAGAGGCGGTCGGGAGGGAGAGAGAGAACGAGCGAGCCCCGGCCGGTCTCGTTGCCTGCTCGCCGACGTCCCCGGAGGAGGAGGAGGAGGAGGAGGAGAAAGAAGGAGAGCCCGGCTGGAGCCCAAGACGCGCGCCGCTCCCGGGGCTCCTTTCTAAATACTACTCGGCCAGGGGGGCGCGTCACCTGACTCGTGGCCAGATGGGCTGGGACTTTCGGCGGGGGGGGGGCGGCCTGAGGAGCGCCGGGGGCTCCTGATTGGTCACGCCTCCCTGACGTCGAGGGGAAAGCCGGCCAAAATGTGAATGAAAGGGCGACACACCCACCTCGGAGGAGAAGGGAACGCGGGGCGGGAGGAGAGGGGAGGCCGCCCACCAGCCACCAGCCGGGCGGCGCGTCTCGCTTCCAGACGGAGGGGAAAGGAGCTTGGAAGAAAAGGGAGCAGGAGCCCCCCCCAGGAGAAAAGTCGAGGGGTGGGGGTGCGTGGGGTGCTCCTCCCCGTTTTTACGCGCCCCGACCACGCTTTCTCTTCATTCATTCGGTGGTATAGTCCCACACAACGGTCTTTACCGGTCCCAGAGCCTTGAGGAACAAGCTTTACAGGCATCACCCTTCGGGGACTTGCAGGCAGCCTGCATCATCCCGGGGGAGGACGAAGAAGGCGCGCTCTGCTGGTTTAGGTACATGGTCTTTAAAGGGCCCCAAGGTTTTTGGTGGTGGTTTTCCCCACCCACCTCCGCTGCAAGAGATGAACAGGACAATTCCGTGTCTGGATTTGTGCGGGCGATCCTAACATGATTCCTTGCCCTAGGACTGAGGGGCTTGAAAAGGAAATTGACCTTGAATTTATTGCTGGGCTACCTCCTTGAGCTTGCTCCCACCCACTTCCTTTAAAAACAAACTTAGTTTCCAAGCTGTGTTAAAAATCTGCAAACTCCGCTGCAAGAGATGAACAGGACAATTCCGTGTCTGGATTTGTGCGGGCGATCCTAACATGATTCCTTGCCCTAGGACTGAGGGGCTTGAAAAGGAAATTGACCTTGAATTTATTGCTGGGCTACCTCCTTGAGCTTGCTCCCACCCACTTCCTTTAAAAACAAACTTAGTTTCCAAGCTGTGTTAAAAATCTGCAAAGTGAATGCATTCTCTGGGGCCAGCTTTAGGACTGACGGGATTCGAAGCAAAGGGCTGGTTATTGCCCTTTTCCTCTCTCCCCCGCCCCCCCCTCCTCTGGCTGTGAGATGGTGGGGTTCCACACAGCACTTTGCATCAAGGCCCAGCCACCCCCTTTCCCCTTCCCCATAATTCCCCACAGTAAGGCCTGGTCAAAGGGACTATGAAAGCCAGCCCTAACGACTGTGTACCCACTCCTGCTCTGATTTTGCCCACTTGGGCGGTGCCTTCTTCCCCACCAACCACAGCGGGCACCGACTGCCCCACTCATGCAGTCGCCCCCTTCCTTCATCCCCCAAGGAACATAAGCCTGGTTGGTGTGGTGGAGAAAACACCACTGCGCTATGGCCTCATTCACCTGGGTTTTCCCCAGGGTGGGGGTGGGGAGCACCATCTGAATAGCCGGGGGTTTCCCTTTGTTACACAGATGACACAGGATTTCTGAGAAGCTTTGTTCTCTTGCCAATAGAATCAGAATTGAGTTTGAAAGAGGGATACTGGAGGAACTACATCACCCAGAATTCTTAGAATGAAGTGGAGCTCATCACATGTGACAAGGTTGCTAGATTTCTCCCCCCTCCCTTGCCCCCATTCTCATAGAGCTACTGGCAGCTAGAAAGTGAATATGTTTGGTCTGCTAGTCCTCAGATTAAACTCAACACTACTTTGCAAAAGCGCATCAGAGTCACCGTGTTCTGCAGAGGCCCTCAAGAAACTTAGGGGGTGACTACATTGGCTGGTTACCCCACAGTTTGCATCTGATCTGGCACAGATAAAATAAAAGTGAAAAACAGTGACTATGCCACGCAAAGCTAAGTGTGAGGAAGCCCAGTATTGTTCCTTGAGGAATCAGATCTCATTTTGTTCACCCAGCAGGGGGCAGTTTATTTTGCTCTGATTCAGGCTCTACAGTACTGTATAGATTTTCTGTGCTTTCTAGTATGGGGGATCACCTGATTTAATGCAAAGGGCCAGTCAGGGAGGCATCAGTGGGCATGCTATTTCATAGGTTATCCTCAAATGAGTGTCTGTTGTTTCCCTTCTCCAAAGAATTTTTTTACTTATTGTTATTAGGCTCGTTCAGAGTAGTACTGCGTCAGAAAAGCACTGCTTCACTTTGGAAAAAAAAATAAAAAATAAGAGGACAAGAAAATGGATGATCCTGGTTGAATTTTTTAAAAAGAAGATACTCTTGATTGGAACTCAGCAAAGATTAATTGAATTGCCAATCTCAGCAAAGACCAGAGATGTTGGCAAGACTTTGGGTCTGAGTCTCAAATAGATAGACATTGGCACGTCATATATGTATTCCTGAGAATACAAATACAAAATTTGGCACCACAGATGCCATGGAGGTCAAATCCCTCCACCTAGAACTGGGGGGTCCACTCACTAGTTGCCACGCATTGCACGCATCTGTCACCATCAACACAGTGCCGACTGTGGAAGAAACCCAGAGGGTGCTTTCTCGCCTCCCAGCACAGTCAACTTTACCCAGCATGTTGTTAATCTGTGGAACTACTTGCCCCAGGATGTGGTGATGGCATCTGGCCTAGATGCCTTTAAAAGGGGATTGGACAGATTTCTGGAGGAAAAATCAATCGCAGGTTACGAGCCGTGGTGGGGATGTATCATCTCCAGGCTTCAATGGAAGGCACCTCCAAAGGCCAGATGCAGGGGAGGTAGATCAGGAGACAGGTATCTGGTTGTCTCATGTTCTCCCAGAGGCATCTGTTGGGGGCCCCTGTGAGTCAGAGGAAGCTGGACTAGATGGGCCCTTGGCCTGATCCAGCAGGGCTCCTTTTATGTTCAATTGCTCAACAGCTGAGTGGGAAGACTCTTCATCCTGCCTCCTCACCGGAGTGGTTGGCTGTGCAGGGAGTCAGGGAAGTGCCGGCCAGACTACTGCCATGATTGGCACGATAGCAGGTGGACACATGCACCTCATGGTGACTGGTGAATGGACTGGCCGGTTCTGGGAAGAGAGAACAGACCTCTATGGCACCTGTAGCCGCCCAGAGTGGTATGATATACCAGATGGGTGGGATATAAATCAAATAAATGGACCTCTATGGCTCCTGTAGTGCTGCTCTTGCCTAGTTCCAAGTCTTTGGTACTAAATCTCAAGTCCCTATTAAAAATAAGCTTCCCCCCAGTGCTGCTCTTGCCTAGTTCCATGTCTTTGGTACTACATCTCAAGTCCCTATTAAAAACAAGCTTCCCCCCCCCCAGAAAAAAAAGGGAGAAGTGGGTGGATTCTGAATCACACGTTGAGTCTTGAGTCATTGAAAAAGAAACCCAAGTTGAGTCACTTGTCTAACTTAAGTCTCGCTTGACAGTGAGTCCTGCAACTGGAGCCTCCATCCCTGACTTTTTCCACATCTTCCCACTGCCCCTACAGACTCCTGCAGCATCTTCACTGATGGTGTAGGTATGGACAGCTACAGAGTGAAATCTCTATGGCAGGGAACCAGATTGAAAAAAACTTTAAAGCAAATTGGGTTTCCACACTGTGTAGTTAGTTGCACCCGTATCAAGGAGGTCTTGCTTCTCTTCTGGGGATCCTCTCTGCTTCTTCTCACTTGTCTTGGCTGTGTTGTCCCCGGCCTTTTCTGTCCTCCCCTACAGTGGCGGCTGGTGTTCAGTTAAACCAGGTGTTGCAACCCAACAGTCTGACCCACTAGGGTGTTCTTGGACTGCAACTCTGGGAAGCCTTCACCTCTAGCTTTACTGGGAGCTGTAAGCTGAGGACACCGGAGTTACCCAAGATTACCCTTCTCTCCAGCAATAGCTGGATTTCTCTCCCACCCACCACCCTCACTGCTCTCAGCTTGGAAACATGGTTCCTGACCCACCACATTTATACTGCAGTGTACTTCTGCTAGGTTCCACAATGGAACATGATCTAGCAAGATCCGTTATCATTCATTGCCATCTTGTTAACCTTCTTTACCTTCTAGACTGCATCAACTAAAGTATATTGATTGTTGCAAGGTGCCAAAGTATTACACAGTCCCTGAGTGCATAGTTGTGCATGGATGCTGTGGGAGGAGCAAGTGGGTGCTTTCCCTCTCCAATCCTGAATCTATGTATTCGATGTATTGTTTTAATGTCTACAGGCGGACACTTTGTTGGAATAGTGTATGCTTGCATGCAAATTATGTTTACCTAGCTTTGTTGGAAAATTCTGCAGGCATTCTTGTAGCTGTGTCCCAGATATACAGTACCTCATGGGGTGATAGTGGTTTCTCTGAAATGTTGGTATGAGAAACCTCTATGCTTGGCCCATGAGTTGCTGTGCTATTATGTCCTTTATAAACTTAATTCCTTTGTTGTGCACCCTGAGAAAATTAGCTACACAAATAACAGAATCAATGGATGCAGTTCTTGTATGGATGCAGGAGGATGCCATTTCTTCTGCAGGAAGAAGTTTGGGGAATTCAGCTGCTGGGCCATAATAAAAAAGAAACATTCCACTATATATTTCTTTCAGTTTTGGCCCTATAAAATTGAGGATTCTGGAAATGTTTTAATTTGGAGAGGGAGAAAACTGACAGTTGTCTAATGCTAAATTAAATATTATATCATATAATTCTGAATGTAAAGGACTGAGTGTACATGCATAGGATAGGGCTACACAGGATCAATTCAGTCCAGTTCAGGCAGAGGATTGCATAGTTTTATGCTGAACAGAGGAACCTCAAATCAGAGTCCACTCAAAATGGTCCCCTTATCTGCTGTTCCTTTGATTAAAGGCCCGTACTTGATGTACTTCATACATTTACTCTGGCAACATGATCACAGGACCCAACAATGGCACAAACAACATTAAGAGCAATTTGACTGGTTCCTTTGCTAATGTGAT